GCGATGCTCAAGGATAGGTAACAAGGCTAAAACAGCTCCTGTGCACGGACGGCTAGTGTAAGGAGATGTACAGTGTGATGTTGATGTCTTCTTGTAATATTGGCTGATTCAAAAATAATGCGCCAAAGTCATCAACGATATTTCAAAAACCTAGAACCTCTTCTAGGGGAAGCAACCATTAAAATACATATGTGAAGTGCGCTGACGAGCTACTTCTCCGATTTTAGTCTTACGGACATTGATGTATCAACTTTATAGGTGAAGTTTGTATAATTTGTAAGTATGGAAGAATAAAAGACATGGTAGACTTGAACAAAATGGTATCAATTAGAAATCTATAAATCTGACCGCAGTGTCGATTTTCGGCCGATATGTCCATTCTTGGATAGCGAGAAGTAACTCATTAATTTGTCAGCACACCTCACATATTTTGAATTAGTAGTCAATACGGAGCTACGTTTCTTGAACCTATCTTTCCCCAACTGCAATAAGGGTGACAACAAACAAGTGGGCGACTGTTGTTGTAGTTGTTGTTGTTGCTGTTGTTGATGTTGTTGTTGCTGATGCTGCTGCTGTTGTTGTTGTTGTTGTTGTTGTTGTTGTTGTTGTTGTTGCTTTGAGCAGCTGTTTTTGTTTGTAGTGAGCACCATCTCCCTGTCGTGTCTCCAGTGACTAGCCTGCTGCTGCGACCGCTGACGACACCGGCTCGGTGGCCTTGCTTGAGCAGACGTCCGCCTCGCGCCGGGAGGTCAAACTGTGGATCGTCCCCTTTTAGTTTTAGTTATAGTACATTAGAGGTTTTACGGCGCTCACAACTGCATAGGTCATATGAGCGCCAGAAGATTAGAGATGTTACAAGAGAGTAACAAACATAAAGAAACAGAAAAAGGGGAGAAAAGGATGACAGATGTTTGATGGGAAAGACCTAGCAAACTACACCAGAGCATCAGCCAACCACCAGCGGGCTGTCCCCTCGAAGGTTCGAACCGCAGCCTGAGCCGAGTCAAACCAAAGACTAAAATCAAAGGCTAAAACAGCACCTGGACATGGATGGCTTGTGCCTCTATAAATAAATCATTGATGGACTAAGATCATATAGGTGCCAGCATTTTTCCTGGCCTGGCGTCGGCTTTTAAGGTTTTAATTTTTTTCTTCTTCATTTTTTTGTAAGCGTTTTACGGCGCTCGCAACTGCATATGGTCATAGGAGCGCGCGACATACCTAACCATTTTCAGTTGGGAGGAAATTTTGAATTTTGCCCGGATGGCGGCCGAAGCCTACTCTCGTCGATTTTGGACCTCCAAGAGATCTTTAAAGTGCACAATTTGCACTCGGGACCTCCGAGATTTGTCGCCCATGCCCGAGAAGGCTAGGTGTACATCTTTCCTACCAGAAGATCAGGGGTGTGGCTGAAAGACAGCAGTAAGAAGGAGCCAAGGAGTAGCAGTAAAAAGGCTGCAGAAAGAGTAAGAAGCCCAAAGGAGTGGGCCTAGGAGGTGAGGGGATGGAGGCAGAAAGTGAAGACGAAAGCAGACGACAGAACATTGTTAGAGAGCAGGAAAGGGGGTGAAATGAGACAATTTTAGAAAAAAAATTTCTGTCGCTACCCAGATCGAACCCGGGACCTTAGAATGAGAGGCGAACACCTGAACCTCTAGGTCACGAGAGCCCCCATTTGGGGATTAATGCTAGGGCTAACCGTATGGCTGGTTTTGCTGAAGTTTCCTTTGAGAGTTTACGCACATCATTTGGGAGGTGAACCTACTTCTCTCTAATGAACTGACATTTATTGTCAATACGACCAGGGAAGGAAAACAAAACCCAAGCGAATCAAACGTGTCCAGTTTTCATTATTTCTTCAATAGGTCTACTTCTTTTTGCATGAGACAAAGTTTGGGAAAAGACAGATTGATCTAGGTTGGTGTAGTAGGGGAGTAGAGTTTATACTTACCGGTAGAAATTATTGTGGAGACGAAGTAGGCATATTGTCAACAAAATTGTTGAACTTGAGCGCCACATGACATCGGCAGTTAAATTATTCTTTGTCTTGGGCGTCACAAGTACAAGTAGGTCTACATGAGCCTAGTGAAGAGTTAGTCTCGATGAATTGTTACTGTCCTTTACTGCAGTTGGTTTCCTCTCTTCTCTTCTCTTTTACGATTGTCTCTACAGGAAAAAAAACAGCAAGTCAAAATGTAATTTCTTAATCTCTAACATGTTGAATGTCATGTTATATTTATTCATCTATCTATTCATATTTATTTATTTGTTTGT